TCAGCCTTTGGTTCATAGTTCATGTGTTTCCATTCATTTGGCTATTTTTTTCAATAATTGAGTAAAACTGAAATTTATTATAAGCCACAGTCGTCCTAGGGACCTCCATGCTATATATATAGCCTCTATGGTTCTATGGGTTGTGGTCTGACTGTTCTTTATTTTATATCTAGAATCCACCAATGAGTGAGGTGGGAGTGGGGGGTAGACTTGGGGTAAGGGGAGGAGGTGGGAGGAGGGAGAATACCCATGACTGATATGTAGAACTGAATGGTATTGTAAAATTATATATATATATATATATATATATATATATATATATATATATATATATATATATATAAAAGATTATTCAACTAGACAGCCATTGCTGACTTGAATTATTTAAGTATATTAGTACTTACCTCTGGACATGCAGAACTTGTCAAACTCCTTATTTTTATATATCAGGTAAGCACAAAGTTCTTATACAATAATATACACCATTATGTTTCCATAGTAGAGGACATTTTTATCACACCTCAGTCAGTACCTCAAATATCAATGGATAATGACCAGCAAAGCTTGGAGCTTACCGGATCAGCCCAGCTAGAAGACATAGTCTAGCAGGATGGGTTCATTTTCATCATTTGTCTCGATTTTTTTATTTTTTTACTGCTGTGATATTCTTTTGTTTGCCTTTTGCTTTCCAGAGATAAATGTTTATATGCTGAATATTCTGCTACACATTTCAAATGTGCTTGTTGCCATCAAAGTAATCAGATTTTATTTTTTACCAACATGATTAAAAACAGAAAAGCAAGCATTGGTACAAATATTACATGGCACAAATTTGATCATAAAATGACTATGCAGAACAAATGCAGAATATGTTCACATTATTTAAATACCAACATCAAACAAAAACACAGACCATAAAATGATCACAGACAATATGTAGACCATCACAATGCAAAGCCAAAATGAAAAGCAAAAGCAATTAGTTTCATTTAAAGTGTAGTGGAATTCTTACTGGGCAGCAAAGAAGTTGTACTACATTGTTAGAGTGAGCTAGGTCTTGTTAGGATCACATATAGAAAAAAAATCACATTTTAATTAGTTTATGAAATATCACATAATCTCCGCAAGACTCATATATACCTCATGTGTGTCATCTGCAACTTCCAAAATATCTTATGTGCGGGACAGCAGAGGGTGGAACTGTTTGGGGGAGGGACGGAAAAGCCAGAGGAGGGTCAGGGAGTAGGAGAGGCTTGCAGGAGAGAGCAAAGCATGATGATGTGATGGCACTTATGCATGAAGGGATCTGAGGGAAGCCCCTTGTTTCATATGTTAATAAAAGAAGTTAGTTGCGATGTTAAGAGACTGAAATGCAAAATCAAGTTCTCACCTTTTGCTGCCTCTCACTGACTTGTCTCCCTTCCTCCAGGAGATGGTTGGCTTGGGAGCCCCCTGAGGTCGGCACTCTATGAGGACTTCCCGGTCTTTGGTAACAATTATTGTTTTCTTCACTTGATTCAGTTCAAAAGAGGGTGGTGAGGCTATGGTAAAGACAAGGGCATTCCATCAGAATGAGCTGAGGACTAAAGTTAATCCATTCACGTGTTCAACTCTTTTCTCTAGGAAACATTTCTCTTCAAATCTCATGAAAAAATATACAACATAAGCACAAAATTTAATTTGTTATTAATGATCAAAGATCTTGTGGTTATCTGTCCATTATGACTGCATATGTGGCACTACAAATAAATAGTACTTTGATATACGACAGGCTTTATTTATGATTCTGGAGGTCAACTTTGAAAGACTGTGCCTCGCCGGGGTGGTGGTGGCGCAGCCTGGTAATGATGGTGGTACAGGCCTTTAGTCCCAGCACTTGGGAGGCAGAGGCAGGCGGATCTCTGTGAGTTCAAGGCCAGCCTGGTCTACAGAGTGAGATCCAGGAAAGGTGCAAAGCTACACAGAGAAACCCTGTCTCGAAACCCCCCCTCCCCCATAAAAAGAAGACTCTGCCTCACTTGGACATTGGTTAGGAGCTCAGCCAAGAGAGTCAATTTTGGGTTCTGTGTCTCTCTTTGTACTACAGGTCATCCCAGAACAAACAGGAAACCAACTGAGTGTGACAAAGCAATCATGGTTTGCATGTCCCCAACACCCCAGCCTTACTCTGAGAAGTCTGGGTGAAATCTTCCTGACACTATTCAGTTGTGGACTTGAGCTCATGTCCAGAGCCTTACCTTAGCAAAGGTGGAACTTTCTATGCTTGCTCTGTGGGCCCCAGAAAGGCTTTTCTCTCCAGTGCAGACCTATCGTACCAGGTGCTTATGAGAAGGCGGCTCTTCACTTTGGTTTCATATACATGACTACAGTGATAATGAGCAACTACTTGGGAAAACATTACCATTTCTGCAGGAACAGGACAGCTTGACCAAATACTAGAATCCCTGTCCTAGTTAGCTTTGTTGACTTAAATCAGCCTAGAGTCCTCAGAGAGAAAGCCTTGGTTGAGGAATTGCCCAGAAAAGATTAACCTATGTGTATGTGGGATTGTCGTGATTATTACTTAATATAAGAGGGCCCAGCTCACTGTGGGTGACAGCATTCCTAGGCTGGTACTTCTGGGCTGCCTAGAAAAGTTAACTAAGCATGAATCCATTTGAGCTAGTAGGAAGCATCCCTCCATAGCTTCTGCTTCAAGTTCTTGATGAAGTTCCTGCCCTGATGGACTGTGACCTGGAGTGTAAGGCCAACCCTTTCCTCCTGTGAGCTGCTTTGGATAGGGTGTTTTAATACAGCAAGAGAGAGTAAGCAAGAGTAGCTCCTTATACACCCTCAAGGTGAAAATTAACATACGCAATACATAATTTTATTCCATGCCATATCAAAGACATATTGTATCATCCATTTAAGATGAAGACTAAAGTCATACACATACACATGATGGGAGAAGCTGCAGAAGGGAAAGCTATCTTCAAGAGCTTACAGAAGAGCAATCAGATACTGTGCTTCTTTTCAAGACATAAAATGGGTTTTAAATTCACAAAGTAAAACTTCACTATAGTAAGAATAGGTGGGAAAAGAATCCAAACTTCTTTCCTGTTTATTTGCTGAGAAACTGCATACCTAGAATCTTCAGCTCAGCGCTTGCATAAATAGCTCCATATTTATTCTCAGCCAAACACTGATACATTCCTGCATCTGATTGGTTCACACTATGGATCGCCAATACTCCATTAACTGTGTCCACTCTGCTCTGTAATGGAATAAAAAGAAGTGAGATCTAGTAAACAGCTCAAGCCAACTATCTAAATCAAATATTGGAAACCACCCAAAGGAAGTCTCCAATTAATGCAGTTAAATAAACATTACTGTGTAAGTTAATTATTTACTACAGTATTATGACTTTTGGAATTATGATTTCTTGCTCAGTATTTTTGTTTCTTTTCTGAGGCAGCTTTGTTTGGCAGACTAGTTGAATCCAAGAGAAGAACCAACAGAAGATGAGTTGACAGATACTCTTTTAACAAAGCAGAAGTCAAAACTAGGCCCAGTCTGGAAAGGATCGAGAGTTTGGAACAGAATATAGGTAAACAACCACCAAGGTCATAGCAATGGTCCTTGTGTCCATCTGGGCAGATGTTTGACACTTTTTTTTACTTGTTAAACAACTAACAGAGATTAACAACAACAACAACAGTAACAACTATCCTATAGTTAGGTTCTACACACAATTATCAACTGGAAAATACAAACTTCATTATTATGTGGAAGTTTTTGAAAAGCAGATCTGACGTGTAAATTGAAGAAAATCAATGTCAAAAAGCATATCTAGAAGGAAAGAGTACAACTCAAAAACAAATTTCACTATTAAAATGTTAGAAATAGAGTTATTTTCTTTTAAACTTAACAATGAGCACATCTTAGGTTTTAACATCTTCATGAGCAAGGATTCCATTTTTTTTTTTTTTTTTTTTTTGTTTTTCGAGACAGGGTTTCTCTGCGTAGCTTTGCGCCTTTCCTGGGACTCACTTGGTAGCCCAGGCTGGCCTCGAACTCACAGAGATCCGCCTGGCTCTGCCTCCCGAGTGCTGGGATTAAAGGCGTGCGCCACCACCGCCCGGCACAAGGATTCCATTATTAATCATTAGAGATATCAAGTAATTTGATATCATTTTTAACATAACCTACTCACTCAGCAAAGACAATATCTGGCTGAGAGATTTGTGTGACCTGGATGTTGGGAATAAAAGATCCAACCATCATTGCTTCACCTAGGAGGAATCCCTAAGAAGGTTAGTGAGGAAGAGCTTATAAACTGGAACCTATGTTTGCTTTCATGGCTTTGTATTTGTATCTGGCTTTTTGTGAAGCTACATTTTCTTTAGGTTTAACTGGCTTCAGAACAAGAGAATACCAGAGTTTGATAAAACTGTAGGACAGGTCTGGTTTTAAAATGGAAGAAACTGAGGTTCCAGGAGGTAAATAGTACACAAGTCAACATGGTAACATCACACCTGCCTGACCGGACTTTTCACTCAGCTAAAACTGTCTGCACAGATCCTCTGTGTTGGTTATAAATATTGAACTATTCCTTCTCTGATCACCTTCCTGTGAAGATCACAAGCAAGGAAGAGAGGTATTAAAATTAACCTCCTTATTATGCAATTAAAAAGTAGTCAATGTAAATTTTGCATACAGAAAATAGTTTTATAAGTATTCAGTAGATTTACTGAAAAGACACATGTTAAGTTTGTAAATCACAAAGTTTGTCTGCTCCCTAGGACACAGGTCACCACAATTCTAGTTTTTCTTCATACAGAAACATAAACCCAAATAATCCTGTACTCCAGATAAATTTCACTATGTGCACAATTGGGGCCATGAGCTAAATGATATCTAAAGGTCAGGTAGAAATGGTAGCAAGTCTATGATGATGAATGATATTTTCCTATGAATTTATAGGCTTTAAATAACTTTTGTATAATGTACTACTCCACAGTATTCAGATAATTAAAATAATGAATGATTTTTATATATTACATAGGCATATACACACTCATATCAAAAGGTAAAAGAGGACCATTTTATGCTGCATGCCATGTATACTGGGTAGTTTTATGTCAGCTTGATACAAGCTAGAGTCATCAGAGAGGAAGGATCCTTGGCTGAGGAAATGCTTCCATAAGATTGGGCTATAGGACATTTTCTTAACTAGTAAAGCATGAAGCAGGGCCCAGGCCATTGTGGGTGGTGCCATCCCTGGGCTGGTGGTCCTGGGTTCTATAAGAAAGCAGGCTGAGCAAGTTAGTACGCAGCACACCTCCATGACTTATGCATCAGCTCCTGCCTCCAGGCTCTTGCCCTGCTTGAGTTTCTGCCCTCACTGCTATTGATGATGGACAGTTATAGGGAACTGTGAGAGAAATGAACACTTTCTTCCCAGAGTTACTTTTGGTCACGGTGTTTCATCACAGCAATAGCCACCCTAACTAAGACACCAGAGTATTTAAATTACTAGGCAGGAGTTCTGAGTTCTCACCAACCATACCTGTGGCCGGAGGGGTGCTCCATTCTTCAGCCAGCGGTATGTGGGCCTGGGCTTTCCAGTAGCCTTGCATTCCCACTGCAGAGGGCTTCCACTGTCCAGCTGGGTGTCATTCAGTCTCTGCACCCAGTGTGGATATGCTGTAGCATTGAAGCAGAAAAGAAAAGTGAACTCAGTACATTTACCACATCTAACCTTCACAGAGGAAAAGTCACTGAATTTCCACAGATTTAGTCCTTACTTGTAGCATTCACGTAAGCACAGGGGAGCACATCATTACGGGGAGGGGGGAAGGATGCCACTAAACAGGAGAGAAATTCACTGCAAAGGAGAGAGAGCCTATCATTATTTCACAGGGGGGCATGTCATTACACAGGAGAGAACATCCTTAGACAGGGAGCACATCGTTATTACACAGGGGAACACATCATTATTGCACAGGGGCGTGTAATCATTATATAAGGGAGCACAGCATTACTACACAGGGGAACACATCATTACACAGGGAACCATGTCGTTACACACAGAACTGTTCCCTGAACAATAAATAGGACAATGTGAATATTATACTTATTGAAGGTATTTCTATAAATGTAAATTATATCTTAAACACACCCATGTGTGTATGTACACACACACACACACACACACACACACACACACACACACACACACAATTTTAAAGCAAGCAGGTTGTTTCGCTCCAGAGCTTGCATATAAGTGAGCCAGTCACTACAAACAATAACTCTTGTGGATAGCATCACACACTAGGTCCTGGAAATAGTTGCTCAGATTGTGTGTGTGTGTGTGTGTGTGTGTGTGTGTGTGTGTGTGTGTGTATGCACACAATTGTATGTGATGATTTTGGAAAACTAAATTTTTAGTTTGAATTTAGCATAATTTTTCAGAATTTATTCACATTTAGCATAATTAGTGAAAAAGTTTCAAAATCATAACATATAACAATTCCTTTATCAATGAACATTGTGGGCTTCCATAGAATGTACAAAATGAAAGTTAAAATGTCTTTTCTCTATTGACCTACTTGTAAATAAAATTTTCTTAAAGAAAAATCACTCTGTGTTCATGTATTTTGTTTAAAGCATAGTCAAAGCAGGAGTATTTTTTCCTGTAATTCCTCGTGTGCTCAGCATTAGATGCAACAGCTGTATTTCAGAATAACGAAGCCACTCTGCACCTTGCATGTGACTGGCTGTGTCCTTAGATGCTGTTTGCAGCTGGTAATACAAGTTGCTTGGCAACTGACAAAATAAAGGTCTTATTAATTGCCATGCAAGTACACACATATGTGCATACACACACATGCATGCACACAGACATAAGTACAAAGGAAATGTGGGTCACGGGTCATGTTAAAAATGACGAACTCTGTATTTCAGAAATAAACCCAACTCAACATCTAAGTATCATGTGTGTTTGTGCTTATCACCTGTGACAACACATGTGGAACACAGTTACATTTAATGAAAGGTCATCTTAGCTCTTAGGGTTTTTTTCTGTTGTTGTTCTTTGCTTTAACATTGCAAAGCATTTCACAAACTGCTAGACGTGCGTTAATTATGTGGACCAAGTGATAAAAGATGCAGTGAATGCAACTGATAGTATTTTTTTAGAAACAGACTGGATTGTAGCACAAAAGTGTTTCATGACAGAGCACAGTAAGTCCAGGTAGTCTGACATCAGAGACATGAGGTTCCGTTAAGGTTTTTTTTTGTTTTGTTTTCAGCAGATTACAGTTACTCAGGGGTGGGGTTCCTTTATTTTCTGAATAGTAACACATAGTCAGCACACACGGCTTGGGCTGCATGGTGGGGACTTGTTCACTTATCTAGAAAATGGAAATCTGGGCCAGTGAGGTCAAGACGCTTACTTCCATACCTGACCACCTGAGTTCAGCTTCTGTGAGCCACATGATTGAAGTAAAGAACTTATTTCTTCAAATTGTCCTGTGATCTCCACATGCATTATACAACTCGTGCACACACACACACACAGACACAAACACATATGCATACATGCAGGCATGTACATATAAAAACACACCACACATTTATAGACATATACATACAGCACAAACCTGCACACACAATACAAATACAAACATACACACATGTAAAAATATGCACACACATGTATACACATACATACACATATATGCACACATACCACACAGACACACACATGTGCATGTATGCATCTACAAACACACAGCATGAACACAATACTCCACACACAGACACACAGAGATGCACCACACATACACATATACATGCACACACATAAGCACACACATACAGATACATACACACACATACACACAACTTAAATGGAAAAAAAATCCCAGGTTTGGCTGCATTTGTAATGAACTTCACAACTTTGATCTGGCTTTTGCTGGACCATGTCCTTCAGGGCTTGGAAAACCGAGGAGACATATGGTCTTTTGAAGTAGGAAACCGTTATAACCATGCCGGATGCACTGTATCCTGGCAGCTACTTACATGATACATTTGGGCTTCGGAACCGTCTCTGAGTTCTGTTTTGTAACACACGGAGCAGAAATGCATAAAGAAAGCCATTGCATATCCCCTTGTCATTGGGAACTCTGGAATTCTCTCCTGACACATGCTAAGTGATATTGGCTGCTTCCCTGCTCCTGTATCTTAAGTATTGAGGACTCGACATATTTTACTGACATAGATCACTTTTAGTATTATGACTCTCAGCTGTGAGCCAATGAGAGCTAATGCGTGTGCTGGATGAGGCAGCTGGGGGTGAATATAGGTTCAAGCCCCAGTCTGTGGTGCCCTTGCTGTAATCTATAATTGGAAACGAGTTCCTTTACTTTAATGAGCCTCATTTGTAAGCTGTAGATGGTAATTCCTATTTCAACGGGCTGCTATGATGATTGAACATAATAAACAGTGATTGATTCTTTGCCCCAACCCATCACCCACAGATAGCTTCAATTTTATTTTTGATCAAGTATGAGCACATATGTGGCACCACTTTCAGAGGAGTAGATTCAAGACAAGGAAATGTTTCCCCAAAGAAACAGGGTTGTAGCATCACAGATAATTACAGAAATGGGAATTTATAAACTTATATAATTTCCTATGGTGAATCTGTGTGTATTTCTAGTAGTAAACCACCATTTAAAATCAAAACATAGTCAAACTCAATAAGAATAAGAAAAATTGCAAGAACTTTAATGTGTCCATAGGAATCATCTCCCTTGCAGTACAGTTAGCAGGGATAGCGGTAGGAGGTGAACTCCAGTCATTATTTCCAGGTGAGATTGGATTCTGTTCTCTGTTTGTTTGTAACTTTTAAAATCCAGTTTATCATTTTTGTGATGTGGATGTTAAGTGTAATACTGCACATCTATTAATTTTTTTTTTAAGCAAAGCTATAGCTCAGAGTCTCCGGCTAACTTCTCACAACCGTTTATAACATCCTCATGCAGTACACATGCTGTGTGAGTACAGGGCTGGCTGGGGAAACGATGGTAAGAGGAAGGTCTGCACCAGTGTCAGCTCGGATAGGACCCCTCCTCACCTCCGGGCCTAGCTTATCTGCTTTGGTAACAATCTGTACTTTTTAAATTCAAAGTGATGATTCAGTACTAAGTTAAGAGAAATTATTTTGGCACTGTCTGTAGCAATCATCACTGCCTATGAACCAACTAGCTGAGTCCGAAGAGGCGCCAAAGTAGTCAGTCAGCTAGGAGCCCTGGGCTCCACAGTCTATAATTCATTCTCTTTAGGAATATAGCACTTTTACAACCTAGGTGTGTGGGACATGTTTGCAATAGTACATGCAGTGATAAGCATTCCTTTATCTCTTTTGTAGTTTTAAACCATAAAGTTCTGGTTAAATTCTTGCCTTTTATTACCAGATTTTTTTCTGCAAAGTGGGTTAATATTCCATTCTGTCTCCACGAGGATAAAAATGTATTTCAGTGAGGTATGGCAAAACATTGGTTTTCTCATTGTTTGCAGATTGTCATAATTATTTGCTTTAAGATGTTATGAACAGTTACAAACATTGAGTTTCATCCAAAATTAGAGACTTGGTAGATAGCATAGCAATGTGACAGGTGCATCCACAAGTTGAAAGCTTCTGGCCTGGTACCCGTGTGCATCCTACAAGCTTCTCAGTGTTTAGGAGTAGCTTTCTTCCTGATGCTTTGTTCCATTCAGCCTTTCAGATTCTGATGGTTTTAAAATCCTAACCAGAGTTTTCAGGACAGAATGTGGTTGGTCATTAGCCCTCATGATCCTTTGTATGTTTTTAGCTCTAATATGAAGTTCCAATTTTTCTCTAATTCAATGCCTTATTGTTAGCATGTGGACTAGTAAGAGGTACTTAGTAAGCATGAATATACTTATTGGATATAATTTTTCTTGTATTAGTTATAGGCTTTTTTAAAATTTTAGACAAAAAGGGGAAATATGGAGGTATTGTGTTCCCCAAAATATTGTGCACGCTAATAAACTGCTGACGAGATTAATTCCTGAAGGAGTTATTGAAGTCATAGAAACAAAGGTTGAATTTAGTCATGAAGGGCACTTCAGAATAGTCTCAGAATCCCTGCACAGGGCATTTAGGGCATTAGGAATATGCACGTGGCTGAGTGTCTAGGATGACTCAGCCATGTGCATACTCCAGGCCTCTGCTTGTTCTTCTTGCTGCCCTGGCTTCCTGTGGCCCTCTCCATTTGTTGTCATCGACTGGGACACAAGCGCATTATCATTTACCTACCTGTGTAGGCACGTGAGCAAGTGGATGTGTGTGACCCTTGGGGGCAAATGTGAGAGTGCGAAACGTCTGAGCCCCTTCAGCCCATTTCCTATGTCACTTGGATAGCTGACTTAGCATTTTTGGAAAACAAACACTCGCAGGTTGCAGGAGCTATTTGAAGTATGGTAGTATTATAATAGTTCAGGCCAGAGCTCAGCAAACTTCTCAGAGCTGCTTGATACCAGATATTTTAGGCTTTGCAACTCAGTGGGTCACTGTCTCCATTTAATTGTGCCAGAGCCAAGCAAATACTGAAATAGAACATTTATGAACAAACGGATATTTACTCAAATCAGCAGCTGGGCAGGATTTGGTACATGAGCACAAAATTTTGACCCCTGCATTAAGCCAAGGGCTAAAAAAGTTAATATAGTTATATATAGTTCATAAAATAAAACTTCAACTTAACAGATAATAGCTGTTTGTACCAGGTAAAGGTCTAATTTTTATGGATATAAACTCTCAATCATCTACAGGCTGACAATTCCTTGTTTATTTTTCTTTAAAATATTTTTGAATATAGGCTCATTTTACATGATATTTCCTATACCAAAGAAATATGGTTTCAAGTTATTACTTGGATTTTTAGTGACAGATGAACAACATCTAGTTTGATTTGCATTTTCTATTTCACCCTTGGGCGAAAAGCTTTGTGACTTTCTGAAACACTCACTGTATATTTGTAGCTGTCCACGGAAGGAGTTTTTTCCACGGGAGTTCTCAGCTGTGCACTCGTATACTCCAGCATCGTCCAGCTGCAGGTTGGGGATCTCCAGCACAGCCTGGGATTTCCGCAGTCTGGACTTACTGGGAATGTAACCGTTAACCTTCATCCAAGTGATTGTCGGAACAGGGCTGCAATGGGAACGGAGGCGCTGTTAATATACTTCCCGCTATTAGAAACATAGATTCAGTTATCTGGTAATTTAAGCACTTAATAGGCTGAGCCCAATAAAACGTAATCACAATTAGGGCCCTGTGCCAGTGGATATAAGTCGCTTTCCACGTGGCTGTGAAATCATCAGGGAACCAAATCCTTCTCTTTCAGATTTCAGCAAAGCCTTAGAAGGCCTGCACTATTATTTGCTAGATGTAAATGATGTATTTTTAAGCAACAAATGTACTTTGGTGAATTTGCTAACAGTTTTAAAGCAGCGATCAAACAAAAGAGTTGAGAATTAAACAGAGAAACTTTCTACCCTCACCTGTAGCAAATCTTTGTAGCAACAATTTGCACAGCACTACACCTGGTCCCGGTCACATGTTTTGCCCCTCAATGAGCCATTTAGCTGTATTTTTCTTTTATTTAAAGTTTTTATATTTTCTATTTAATCACAAAGGTTTTCTTAAATAAATACTAGCTTGCCTTTTCTCATTCATAGCTGTATATAACTCTGTTATGGAAAGTGTTGGGCGACGGTCCCTCATGACTCAGGGTTCAGGACAGTCCTGCTTTCCTTCTGGGCTTCTCTTTCCTTCTGTATCAGACGGAGACACTGATGCACTGCTCTGTTGCTTCCATGGTTTACAGGAGACATTCACAAAGGCAGGACTAATGGACCAAAGGGCACGCCCATTTTTCATTTTAATAAGTAGTGGCAGACTGTTTTCCCGTAATACAGTAGAAGTTCCTATACCTATCATTAATATATAATATTTTTTCCCTGTATCCTTGTCAGGACTGTGTGGGATTAATTTACTTAAAAAAAAAAAGACCTGCATAGGTCCAAACCAGACAAAAATCCGAGCATTGAGAAGGAGAAGTGGACACAAAGTCATACGCCTGACAAGAAGTGATGTATTAATACCCACTGGTGAAAGATGATCAGTTTTCTCCAATGGAGTACCCAGAGTAGTTGGCTAACACAAAAGGGATTCTCTCTTTTTTTTCTTTCATTCCATTTTTGTCTCACTGCTTTTTTGGGTTTGACTTAGTTTTTTGAGAGAAAGAAAGAGAGAGGAGAGAGAATGATTCAGGTGGGTAAGGGATGTACAGGGGTCTGAGAGGAGCTGGGGGAGGGGAAATAACATGATCAAAATGTGTCATATGAAAAAATATATGAAAGGAATTTGTTTCTAAATATCCTCAGTAGATTACATATACATATGTGCATAATACACACACATGTGCATATATATAGCAATAATAATTAAAGAAGAGATCATGAATTTGGGAGTGAAGAGTGATATAGATGTAGTGCTCATGTATAAGATTATCAAAAAAGAAACTATTAAAATAGAATTTGTTCCTCAGCAATTCTACTCTCTGCCTCTCTCTCATCATATGAGGGTTTCTGAGCCAGGATCTTAGCAGTATGCTTTCCACAGGAAAGCAAACAAAGCTATGCTTTTCTTCCCGAGCTCCAGACCTTTGCTTGTCTAGAAAATGATTTCAAAACTCAAGTGTAGTCCAATATTTTTTGCAGAGTTTTGATGATAGTTTTCAACCTGCACTTTGCCATTTGGCCATCATCCTCTTGGACTACTTGACTGTTCCTGTGTGATACAAGGGTGGAATTCACAGTTTCAGCATCGCTAATGACACTCAGTGGCCCACCATGGCTGGAACCTCGTGTTCTCTTCTACACGTCCTCCTGCACTCGAATCTCTCCCAAGCTCAGCTCTGTTCCACTGACTTACTTCTTGATATTTACACATGCTACACTTTTTATGATGGACCCTATGTATTTTCCCTCTCATGGCCTCCTTCTTTATCCTGGGATACAGAAATACACCTTTGTGTCTCTAATCCCTTTCTTGGTCCAGATCTTGTTTATATACTAGCTAGATGATGACATTTTTCTTTTCAATAACAAGTACTTTGTTGAATCCCCCATAATATTCTTCACTGAATCATAAATGATGAGTTTAGGGGATTTTTGGAAAGTAATTTTAAACAAAAAAATATTTTCTCTAGTAGGAATAATAGCACTGTTCATTACTGTATGTGTATCTCTCTCTCTCTCTCTCTCTCTCTCTCTCTGTGTGTGTGTGTGTGTGTGTGGCGGGGGCGGGGGGGTACGGGTGACACCAGCAATCAAATCTAGTGCATGCTAGATTACACCACGACTGAGGCACATATTTCAGGTCCTTGGTTCCATGTTCTGGAAGATGGATGAAGAAGAGGGAGAGGCCACCCAGTTAACTTCAACATCTCCCTTACCTTTAGCACTGCTGTGTATCTGTGCCACTTTATAGGTTCATATATTTTTTAAAACATGAAATACTGGGCTGCTGAGATTGCTCAGCAAGTAAAGATGCTTGCCACCAAGACTTGATAACTGGGGTTCAATGCCTGAGACACACATGGTAGAAGGGAAGAGCTGACTTCTATATGTTTTCCTCATACCCCTGCATATATGCCAGGGTGTATGTGCTTCCTCCCCACTAAAGTAAATATATGTACAACAAAATATTAAATAAAAATTTGTGTAAGACAGCATTTCCTGTTCTTAACTCTTCACTCATGTATTCTAAATATAATTCCCATCCTTGTCTAAATATGAATTTCAGGAGATCTCATATTTTCATATCTATACTTTTTCTATTGTTTTTATTATGTTTTACAATCATTGTTTGAGTGATGGTATCTCTGGTTGTACAGTGGGCCTTTGGAAGAAATACATAAAATAATTGAAGATAAATCATTCATATTTTCCCATTACTCACTTACTAGTTTCAACTGAACAGTAGAGGTTTGTCCTCTACTGTTTTATATCATTTTATAGCAAGTTTTTCATTCTATGCCAATTAATTCATCCATATTCAAATACCTTAAAGCACAATATTTTCATATTACTCACCTTTTGTAATTGTAAAATCTGAATTTATATTTTCCCCAGATTAAAGTCCAAGTTACTCAATGAGCACTTATTTTTCATTGCATTTCAATTCTTTATATCATTTCTTCTTTAGTTTGCAGGCTGCAACCTAGTCAGTGAGATTAGCCGCCCCTGATTATATATACAAAACACTGTATCAAACTGTAGGAAGCAAAATTCAAGTTGCCAATGTTGTCTTTCCTAAATGCTGAATGTCTTAATTCTTAGTAGGTTATCCATTGACTTTATAGGTACTGACTGAGTCATTCAAGCTATTTTATTAAGAGGTAATACAATCCTAATTTCTTTGAATTTGATGATTTCATCTACTAGGGAAGGCAATAATTCATAAATGGGGAGAATAAATGATAAAATGGATTCCAAGTTTGTAGGGGAGATCAGGAAGTGATCCAGAATGAAGACTGTGTCACATGGGAGGGAATAACTTTGAAAGTAAGAGGGACAAGAACATTCTGATGCTAAGGAAAGAAAGGCGATGTGTCAGACCGTCTGCTCTTATGCTGAGAGGACTTAGAGCAAATTGTGTGCCGCCATGGGGCAAGTGTTCACACATCCAGTGGCCAACTGCAGCAGCAACGCTTTACAAGCTCCTTGCTGTCTGTCAGAACAGTGTTTGAAATAAGTAATGCAGTGGTTGTTGAAGATCTTCAAAGCATCTTTGATTTCTTTAGAAAGCAAACTGAAGTGCAAGATTCAAGTACAGAAAGAGGAAATAAAGGTAGCTTGGATGAGGAGGCTGCTGGAGTGAAGGGAGAGGGAGTTCCTCCACAAGAGCTGTGAGGAAGACTGGAAGGACAAAGACAATGTCTCCTGCATGAAAAAAGCAACAGTTCTGGTGTGGTGTACACCATGAGCATGTGGTACAGCAGGCTGTTGGCACTTTGTATGCGTTAGTAGGTGGAACACAGGAACTCACCACAAGTTTATGGGAAGTGCCTGTTTCCCCTGTGATAGAAAGAGAGGCCATTTTCATAAAATGAAATTATTTAATGCTTTGCATTTCGCTTTACTTCTATGTTGAATTCTCAAGATTAGTCTTTTAATTATTAGAAGTTTCAGAATAGAAAAACAATAAATAGCATTGGTGGGGTGGATGAACATTGATTTGGTTCTGGACATCAGCTACTAGTAAATGAAATGAAGAGCTGAAGCCTCTTGGCTCTGAGAATAGTTTATAGGCCCTTGGGATCCCCTTTATCATCTGTGTTGTTTGTGATGATGGAGCCAACCAAAGGACTTCTGTTACTTTCAAGTATCTTGTTTATAATCTAGCTTGATGCATTCATTTTTTTGGAGGGAGGGAGAGGTTAAAGGCTTAGCATTGAAAAAAATGCATCTCAGGATACTGTAATATTTTTATTGACTTAATGTTGTAATATTATCCAACACATACTTCCCATCACAAAAATCTGAAAATGGAGTTATTACTTAGAAAGAGGGCTGGTTTAGGTTATGCTGGAAGAATGAGTAGAAATATAAATTTTGACAGAAATGCAAAGAACAGTTATTTCTATCTTATTGAAGATGTGTTTAAATTGTATTTCTTTAGCTACACATTGGATTTTCGTGTGCAATAAGCACAGGAACTTAAAGAAGATAAAGAGTGTTTGAAGTTTGCATTATATTGTTATTCATCTGGCTTAGAAATATCTATCAATAACAAAAGATTATGTGAAGCCACATTGAAATTCTGGCACGGCTTTGTGTTAGCACCATCACAGTGACAGGAAGAAAAGTGTCTCCAAATGTAGTTCTGAAATGTAAGGCACGTGTTGGACGAACTTTAGCCTTCACTGAAGTCATTAAGGCATTTCTTAAAGATCATTTTATACACATGATGAAGTAATGTGTAGAATCTGTCAAGACAGAAGGAGGACTTAGCTGTAAAGATTTAATGATTTCAAAGGAAAGTACTCCCCAGCCACAAATCGCTATTCAGAGACAAATTGTAGGTCTGTCTAATGGAGCTTCCTATTTTCCTTGCATAAGTCACAAGTGAGACATGAATTTTAC